TGGTTGTTGGTATGGCATGCCGCCCCCCCCTCCCATGCCCCTCAAGAAGACATGTGTGCCTCTCGAAGATGCGCATCTGGCGTCACGCGTGGGCACTTGCAGTCTTTAGTTGAGTGACTTGTGTGTGCATGGGGGGCTTTGGAGTTGAGCTCCGGTCGGGGTTTGTACGCCTTTCGAACGCCGATTTTGCAAGGGCGGCGTTCGTCCGACGCGCGTCCAGCTGACGTCGTACGGCGTGACGTCATCAACACGGTCTCAGAGCTCATTTAAATTAACCACGAAGCCATCTCGTTTGTGTCTTATGCAGAGCTGAATTCTTTCTCGTGTTTTACATAATTATGAATTGTTGCATTGATATACCCTAAAGTATGACATAAAATTGTTTTTCTTCATTATTAACGCATTTAACCCATTACAAAAATTTTTAACTGATTTATAGTAGATTAAAAAGGCGTTGTGACGTCATATCCTGAAGCGGTAGGTGGCAAACTGAGCCGGAAAGTCAATGTGAAGATGACGACGATGGCAGAGACTGACTCCAGAGTCAAAATAAACCCATGGATTCTATTTCTGTCCTGTCTGGATTTCTTTCACACAGGTTAGTCATATTTTTGTTGTGCATCTTAACTTGAAACTTGAAAAAGTTTGATGCAACTTTAGGCTGTTTGACATCCAATAGGATAAACCAAAACTGAATATTGTTGTTTTGTTGTGCCTGATCAGAAGAAAAAACTGCTGTGGGCAATTAGTAATGAACACTATGAAACTTATAATTGCATGATATATCCACGAGTAACATAAGTTCTTCATTCAACTTAGTTTTTAGATCATCTCAGTGAGAATGATCTAAACCCGAATTTTGATGTCATTATATGTTTTGGATTGTGGTTCTGTTTTATTTGTCATTAGTTGTCTTCATGTAAAATAATATGCCATATAGGACAAAAGCATTGAAGTTAAATGCATCAGAATTTATGTATGATATTAGTTACAATACAACAAAATATAATGGAGTTATGTAATAGGATAATAGAAAGTAATATAGATAGCGCTTTTTACTTCAACAAATTTAAAATCATACAGAATATATCAAAACACAGATTCATACTTAACGCAAGAAAAAAAATGCAAATCCAAATAGATAAGAAACAAAACATAAAAAATCAACAAAATCTACTCTCACTGGAATACCTGCCCAAACTTGTTTTAGCTGCTATAATATTAAGCATTTGTTTTGAATTGTCTTGAATTTCATCATCAAGGTAGCCCGTATTCAGTGGCCAGTAGCCACATGTATGACGACTTGTTTGAAATGGGATTGTTTTAGGACAAGACCATCACTTAGTTTCACTCATCTATTTGTATGTGTGAGTGTGCGCTAGTCTATCCATTTTTGTGTCACATTAGCTTTTCTTGAGGGGATGTTTTTTTCTGCCAGTTTGTGTGCGTGTGTGTGTGTGTGTGTGTGTGTGTGTGTGTGTGTGTGTGTGTGTGTGTGTGTGTGTGTGTGTGCGCGCGTGTGCGTGCGGGTGCGTGCGGGTGCGTATGTCCGGCCTTCACTCACTGCCCAGCCATTGTTGCAAGCTGCACAGTCACTGAGCGGCTCTGTTTCTACACAGCTAGAATAGCATAGCCGAGCCTGGCAGCTGTATAGCTGTCAGTGCCTGCCAATAGGGAAACAATGGGCACTTTTATTTGCGGATGCTGGCCCATGCATCCTACAGACTTTGACTTGAGGTTACCATGGCAGCGCGGAGCTGCTCTGCAAAGCAGCAGTGGTGGTGGTGTTCAATGCAAAGTCTCAAGTAGGCTCCCATTTTATTTTAAAGAAGACATAGTGAACCCCCACCTATTACCAACACACTTCAATCATTGCCCCAGTTTGCGTACAACAATAAAATGTAAATTTTCCGGAATATGTCCTCTTCAATTGTTCTGTCATTCACTATTAAAGCCCGCTCAGAATGCCTCCGTCTCTGCAGGTGTGGTGCTAGCAGTGAACATGACGCTTCCCAGCTCTCTCATCCGAGGCACGCTAGGAGGTGAGGCCCTCCTCTCGGTTGACTACGTCAGCTTCAGCGCCGACCTGCCCGTCATCAAGTGGCAGCTGCGCCGAGAAAAGTTGTCCACCGTCGTGCAGTCCATCGGAACCGACATCGTGGGGACCCTGAGGCCAGAGTACCGGGACCGTATTCTGATTTTCCAGAACGGATCCCTGCTCATGCACAACTTGAGGTTTTCGGACGAGGGGACCTATGACGTGGAGATCTCCATCACGGATGATACATTCACAGGCGAGGGCAGTGTCACGCTCACCGTGGATGGTAGGAGGTCCGCTGTCATGAAGTAGTTGTACTTTGCAAAGTTAATGTAACATTCTGAAGGTGGAATCTCGTAGAAGATGGTCATAAAATTAGTATTATATTTAACCACAGCTCTCTAATAACTAATGTGTGTGTGCACACACCTACACACACATCCATCCATTTTCTGATCCGCTTATCCTCACAAAGGTGGCAGGGCATGCTGGAGCCTATCCCAGCAAGCAGTAGGCGGGAGACCGGTTGCCAGTCAATCGCAGGGCACACACAGACGAACAACCATCCGCCCTCAGCTGGGATAGTCTCCAGCATGTCCACAACCATTGTGATATAAACATATAGAACTTGTCCTTTCCAGAGCCCTTGTCCAGTGCCTACATCCACATGGAATCATCATCAGTGCTGGAGCGCAGCGAAAACGTGGTCCTCAACTGCTCTCATGAGGCAGGCACTCGGGCCACGTACAAGTGGATGAAAGGCGGCAAAGCGCTGGGCAACGACAGCAGGCTGCAGCTGTCACTTGACCACAAGCTCCTCACCATCACTCGCATCACCATGGCGGACGACGACGTCTACAGCTGCGTGGTGGAAAACCCTGTCAGCGCTGTGACCAGCTTTCCCATCAGATTGAGTGTCTACAGTGAGTAAAAACTATTCTGGGTTTTTATTGGTGTCTCATGAAGGATAAAGAATATGACTGTCAGTGTTGTTATGTACTGTATATCCTTTTTCAACGTGTGGGATAATAAAGCTTTATAACATCCTGACAAATAGTGAAATTAATTGATAAAAACAGTTAATCACACAGCCCTATGGTTCTTGTACCCAAATAGAAAGAAGTTCTATCTATATCATCCTCTCCACTGGTGGCATCTTCCTACTAATCACCTTGGTAACAGTGTGCGCCTGCTGGACACCATCCAAAAAGTATGTTAAAAAAAAAATCCAAAACATGATTGAAATCAAGGTTGCAATGCAAACATTATCTGTTTTATAGGTCGAAGAGGCCAACAAGAAAGTCTTTCTCCAGGTTTTATAACCAACGCACACCAACTTGTCAGACAGGTATGAAATTATCATGTGAAAATATGCATATTTTTAATTTAATTATGCTGAGTCAGATATTTGACTTTTTGGTTGTATGTGCACTTGGGATGGAAAGTATGCAACAAGGTCGTCCTGTCTTTTTTTATTTTCTTTCCATTCGCCCACATTTGAAATAAAATCAGATTATTTTAAAATCTGTTTTTTTTCCTACCGTAGCTGATGATGCTTCAGATCTGACACAGTGCAATGGGAAGAACACGGAGACCTCACTTTACATCCCGCAGCAAAAGGTAAATAATTGAAAATGTCAAGTGATTGTTTGGTTGACTCGGAATTCAACCATTCCCTTTTTCGCAGGATCTTTCCCCAGGTGACTATTCTATCAACAGCATTGGATCTGCTTTGGAACCAGAGCATCCTCCCAGCTACACGAATTACGTTGATTCTCTGACGCGGGCTACTGCCCACTCCAACCAACTCAAAGTATAGCTGAACGATGGAGGATATGTCAGAAGAAATCCTGCATGGATTGGGACTCAAAAAAGTCTTGTGTACACTTCTTCCTTCCTTGAGAAGCGTTGTTTGTTCGTATCAAAAGATGCAATCAGATGAAAAAAAACACAGGAAAACATGCAACTGGAAGTCACACTTCTCATCTCATGTGGTAGTAAATGTGTTTCTTATTTTACGGTTATGTTCTACAAATGGGTCCTCCACAAGGCAAGTTAAACATGAAAATGTTTGTTATAGATTACAGCAATGCATTTTGTTTGGACATATTGTACATTCAGTTCCGAGTGATTTATTTCAATGTAATGTTTCCTGACATTTTTCTTGTAGATGGGGAAAAAAGCTATTTTCCCGAAACGCCTTTTTCTTCTAGAATAAACGTTTTCCTCAAAAATATTTTACTTAACTTTATTTTTGTAATATTACTAATGCTCCCTTGTAGATAATAAACTGTTGTTGATATGCAAAATACAGTGTTTATTTCACTTTTATTTCACTACGTCTTCGAGCTAAAATATAAAAACGTATTTTCTTAATGTGTCTGTAATGTCAAAACTATTCTTTTTTTTTTTTTTTTTTTGCTTCAAAATATTTTACTCTTGATAACGAAACATGACTTTGATCCAACGTACGTAGACACGAGTTGTTTGGCTAACATAAATTAGGCCGGCTCGTGTTTCACGTGATCATTACTCAATCCTTGACGTCACTCACGAGACGAATTTGACAGTCTGTAAAGTGAGCTTTAATTTTTACAACAAACGGACGTTATTCCATTTTAGTATTTATTATTATTATTTTTTTTTTTTTTGTTCTCGACGTGTTCGACTATACTGTAGACAATGGAGTAGAACTATTTCTTACAGGCATTAGCATAATGGTACTAATAACTACGTTATTAGCTATTTTTAGGTTCTAAAATGAGATAAAGTAGAATTAACAAAAATATTAGATTATATTTATTTTGAAAGCCAATACCGGAAATCATACTTTTTTTTTGGAATGAATTACTTGACAACAGGCAGCAACTGTTGCTCACTTTGACAACTACAGTACTGGACGTCCCCCTCCCTCTCTCTCCTTCACCAGTGGCCGCTCGTCCATTACTTTCCTTCAGTCGGAGCCGAAATGTTGTTCAGTCCGACCGGCGTGTCGGAGTGTTTTCGCGAGTGGGGAGATTTAGAGAAGGACTATCAACAAATTCAGGTGAGTTCTTTTCACCGTCTGTCAGTTGTACGCTTTGTACTGTACTTAGACGTCCACAGAGGGAGCTCGGGGGTTAGCTAGGAGGCGGTGCCGTGTTCCTTGTGTTTGAACATCACCCTGTTTTTCTTCAATAACCGCTTGTGCCTTTAGGCTACATGTTAAGTAGGAATACACACAACACATAAAAACATACAAGAGCTCAAATGGCCGTCCAAGTTTGAACAAACCCACAGTTGACACGTTAATGTAGCTAGCTATTCGCTACATTTTAAACAGATCGAATTAAACACTTAACCCTAAAATAGTGCCAAAAGGCCACTAAAAGCAAATTAGTGCTTGATGTCAAGGAAGTATTGTTGAAGTGATGCAGATATTGAACGTCTAAACCCGTTTCATGTCAGGGTGGAGCTACATTTAGCCTGAAATCGCAAGTCTTCACCACACATGCATGCATGAGCATATTTTTCTCAAAATCAAATAATCTGTAAACCATTTATTTGGAATGGCATTGTCGTAGGACGAGTTTGAAATTATATTTAAGTATTTGGGGATCATAGTCTATGGTATACTGTATTCACGGTTATTAATATAAACACAAATCAATGTAGGAAGTGTCATCTGAAAATATCTTATTGTGACCTGTTACTCAATTGCAATCCCCCCCGCCCCAGAACAAGTGGTATAGAAAATGGCCGGTTGAAAGTTTGCCTTTACAAAGGCAATAATGCTCCGTTAACGCTTCAGGACACACATCGGCTGTACAGAGTTAAGCTCGAGGAAGTCACCAAATTGCAGAACAGCTGCACATCCGCCATCTCACGTCATCGGAAGAAGCTGAAAGAGCTCTTGTCATCGCTTGAACAGTAGGCTTGTCACCTTTCTTTAGCACCTGAACACACCAACATGTCAGCACGCAATGCAACAAAGTGTTGTGGGGTCCTACAAAGCTCTTTCCTACTTTTAGATGCAAAGTCAACCACCTAGAGCAAAAGTTAAGTCTGGAGCAAGTGGACTCCATCGCCGACATCCAGGTGGAAATTGGCGAGCGAGCTGATGCCTTTTCTGAGATGGAAGCCTTTCTGCCAAAGAAAAACGGGTTTGATTTCCCTTCATTATATATTATTTGATAAATGATAGCAAATCGATGTTTTCTATTGAAATTAGTGGAAATGCAATCAATCCGTTCGAGCCCCATGAAAAAACTTCCTCAACATTTTTGTACATGTGGCGATCAAGATAACACTGCAGTACCTATTAAGTCGCTTGATTGAATTACCGTTTTTTTTTTTTCCCCTTTCAGGCTATACCTCACTCTTGTTTTAGGAAATGTCAACGTTACACTCCTCAATAAGCAGTCAAAGTAAGTTCCTTGCATCCACCTGTTGTCACGCGATCCGTCTTACAGCACACATCCTGACGTCCTCAATCTCTCCCCTGCTTTACAGATTTGCCTACAAGGACGAATATGAGAAATTTAAGCTTATCCTCACTGTCATCCTCTTCCTCTTTTCCTTCACGTGTCGCTTTTTATTCAGCTACAGGTAAGTCATACAGCGGTGCCTTTTGTTGTGCTGCTCATTTTGTAATCCAAAGTGTAAAACTAATTCAACCAGTGTTTGGTTTAGCAACAGCTCCAACTTCATTTTTGTTTGTTTTTTTTTTTTTCTTCTTCTCCCAGAGCATTGGACGCCCTTTTCAACTTCCTCCTGGTGTGGTACTACTGCACGCTCACCATTCGTGAGAGTATTCTCATCAATAACGGCTCCAGGTGCATGATTGGATAAAATGCAAGCGTTCTTTGCAATATGCCACCCAGAGATAGGACAAATATTTCGATTCACGTTCACAACATCACTGAGTGTCCATCAAGTGAACCTGATTCCATTGAGTGGTACAGGTTATAGGTCATAGTCCGTGTGGAAAAGTTTTGAAATGATTTAACGTGCCTCTTATTAATCTCCCAATAAATTTCAGCTGTTCTAATAGGGTTTTATCTTCATTTATCTCAGTCTCATGTTTTTTGTATCGCAAAAAACAGCCGTTCCCAGCCTTGCTGTCATCTGCTTTCAGGATACGAGGCTGGTGGGTGTTCCATCACTACGTGTCGACCTTCCTTTCAGGAGTCATGCTCACATGGTGAGTCCTTGCTCAGTTCTCTTCTCTCAAGTCAACCCCCCCCCCCCCCCCGTCCACCTCATAACATTTTTGTCTCTGCGCACAGGCCCGAGGGGACTCTTTACCAAATGTTTCGGAACCAGTTCCTCTCCTACTGCTTGTACCAAAGTAAACCAGCACACACCATTAACTACTTGACTTGGACCTTCAGACTACACTTGTGTGTGTGATTGGTTTTCTCTCCACTCTGTAGGTTTTGTCCAGTTTTTACAGTATTACTACCAGAGCGGCTGCTTGTACAGACTCCGAGCCCTCGGAGAACGACACAACATGGATCTCACCGTTGGTTAGTTTCACATATTTGCACCCAATTCTGATTCAGAGTAAGCGGATTTTGAGTATCTGCTGATACCGCCTCCCCATCCAATATCTCGGCACATGCATTCAGAAGAGCAAACAGTCTCAGCTGTATTTTTATTATTTTAGTTTATTTAAATAAAAGTAATTGGTGATTCAAACAACGTAAACAACGTCCAATCTTTAATGCAATTCCTAAATGTAATGATCCTATCTTAAATAAACTGAACTCTGCTGCACTTTGTGCAGTAACAAAATATGATTCTTTTTTTCCCCCCTTGGTTTATGTTTCTTCTTTTTTGTGTTTCTTCAGAGGGTTTCCAGTCATGGATGTGGAGGGGACTCACCTTCCTGCTGCCATTCTTGTTCTTTGGTCAAGTGAGTTGAATTTCCACAGCTCTCTTAAAGGAATTGACACATGCGGCACAGTGGTGCCTTAATTCATTCTGTGACCATCCTTTTAATGCATCTCAAATCGTAACTCGCCATTGAGGTTTACAGAAATGTCATTAATCTTTTTGGAATGTTTTGTAATGAAGATATCGCTTTTTAATATTTTACTTGATAACAGCAGTAATGACACATTTAAATGGAATGTAAAGAACATTTTTGCTACATTTTTGCTTGATGAAGTGAATGTTGTGCTGCTCCTTCTGACATGCGTGCCATGGCCAGAAGACCAGTATAATATAGATTTACAGATATACTTGAAAGAGACGGTCATACGTACTTATAAGAGGATAAAGAATATTTGTGTTGTTATAATGTCTATTTATGTTACTTCTCTAACACTGCAGCACTCATGCCATTCATTTGACCATCTATGGCATTTTCCATTTTTTGTTACCATTGAACTAAAGCAAAATTATGTGGCTGGTTCAAGTACTCTTTGTTCCACTAGCTTCTTTTTTCATTCATCCCGTTTAAATGAAAAACATAATGTTGTTCCTCGTCCTCACAGTTCTGGCAGCTGTACAATGGCGTCACACTTTTCAAGATGTTCCAGCTACCAGAGTGCAAAGAGTGGCAGGTGTGCAGCCTAATACGTTCACCTTCAAATGCAGTCGATTGAAATACATTTCAAAACAAAATTGTGCTTTTTGTGCTCAAGGTGGCGATGTGCTGCTGCTCTTACATGACTCTGTTTCTTGGCAACTTCTTCACCACGCTGGGGGTGGTCTACAACAAGTACATGATGAACCAAGACAAGCCCAAGACCTTGTAGGACTTCAGTGTTTGTACCTCCATTTTACTGTTACGCTTATCTGCTCTCCTTGCGTTGTCACTCAGTGAGTGGCGCTCATTGGTAGTGGGTTATAGGAGAATGTTACCCAAGTGTACTTACTGTAGATGTGATTCATCGGTACACGTCACAAAAGCATGTGCACAGTTCCGTGGGGAAAACATTGGTGTCATTTAGTATTTGCTGAATAAATGCACTCCTGTACAAAGGCAGCTTGCACTGAATTAAATACTATAGGGTGTTTTTGGTGCGCTGAAATTGGAGTTGAGAAAGGGCAGCACGGGACCCTGCTGTAGTTTGTAATAAAGTGCAGTGTACTAAAATGTCCAAAAGATGGCGCCATTGAGACACAGCTTCACAATTTGGCCTCATTGAAACACAATTGATCCAAATGTTTATTTTTTTGTTGTCATTAGGAGCACGACATAAAGATTAGCCAACCCCCCCCCCCCCAAAAAAAAAATGAAAACAACGAGTCATTTATTAAAATCAAACTCGTTTTCAATTGGAATGCTTTCCAATGCAGCTCTTTTTTCCCAAGCATTTGCCGGGGGCAAGTTTTTTTAACAAGTTGGGCACACATTCATATGTATAAGGTCACACTGGTGATATTCCTGTGCGGCTGCACAATACGTCCTCTGCTTTATGATTTAAACATTTTCTTGATGCAAAGACATGAAAGGAGGCGAGAAAAGAGGCGCCATAAGATCACAGGCAAACCACAGCTGAAAGTTTAAAATGAAAAGCAGCTTTACGCCCAATTTGCTGCGGCGGAACTTCTGTAGAAGGAGAGGGGGGAAAAAAAGAAGAGCATGTGAATGTATGCGTGAGGGCTGGAGGGTGAGGTTGGTGGAGAGGATTCTCTTGTGCCAGTTTGGTCCTCTTTCATGTGCCTCATTAGAAGCTGGGAGGGGAACGAGGAGCCCAAGGACAAACTGTATGTAAGGGATGAGGAGGGGGGGGCACTGCCAAAATGGCTTCTTTTGCCTCAGGATTGTTCACCTTAATTTTTTTTAAACAATCCAATATGTAGGTCAATATGCTAAGCTATTATTTACTCCGTGGAAAATAAACATTACACCACAGCTTCACTGGGCAAATGTTGTCATAGTTGCAAGTAAAGTGACTTTTAGTTGCTGCAAAAAGGCATTCGTGTGTATGGAACAATCACTCTTCCTCTTGTAGCAAAGCACTACTTTTGTCAAATTTAAGCTCCTCACTTAACTTCAGCATAGTTCCTGGCACTAATTTGTCTAAATGAAGTGCCTCAGCTAATTTTAACAAAGTTTTATGGTAAGCAGTATTTCTGTCGAAATTAAGTAACGTAAATCACTTCAGCCTAGGTCATTGTCACCCATATGCCACAAAATGGTGTCATGTGATTACCTCTAAATGAAGCACCTCAACTCACGACAGCATAGTTCCTTGACATCAAGAAAACTACTTCAGTACAGTAGCAGCAGTACCAGTTCGTCATCGTGTTTGGACTGAGGGACATTTCACAAAGCAGCAGCACCCTTACACACAAGAATTTTTTTTACAAACATGCCACAGGCCAGTATAAAAAGGGCCGGACCGGACCTTTTTCACACCTTTGCCTTCAAGCTAACTGGCCTCCCTGCTGGACACAGATAAAGAGCCGCTCCACTGGGGCCTGAGCAGCTCGTCCACCAGGGAGGCTTGTTATCTGCAGCGGGTCAGACACGCACTCATTTCCTCTGGGAGGTGATAAGCTTCTATCACAGGAATGATTAAAGGAGAAGAAGGAAGAAGTGAAGCCCAGAAGGGGACCGAGAGGAGTCTTTGATTAAGAAGAGGATCGTAAGCCGTGCGCTATGTGCACAAAAGTCTTCGGACACCCCACTTAATTCGAAATAAATCAAAGACGTATTGCACAGTTGTACGCTTCCAGCTTTTTGGGAACATCGTACTTGGATGAGACCCGGCGGAACTTGAAAAAGTAAAACACACACAAATGCTAATCATTTATGTATGTATGTGATGCATATTTGTTCGAGTGTTGCATCGTACCTTTTCCCCTAATTTTCTTCAAATGATGCCAATCAGAGGTGATTGGTGTCATAATTCATTCATCTATCTTATCTAAATGCTTGAGTCAAATGAGCCCCTCCAGAAAACAAGTGTTAATGCTATGAACGCCGTCGTAACTTCCCCTCTCTCATTAGCAAATGAAGTCCCACAGCAGCAGGCCATACTCGCAGTAATGTGAACGGTGAGCACAACACAATGAAATATCCATAATTAATAAGAAGATTGGGGGGGGGACCATGATTGCATCCACTTGTCTAATGAGACTGAAACCTTCATGGCCCCCGCCGAGTGCAGGAAAAAAGAGAATTCATCTTTATTTTAAGGCAATAGGCCCCAGCAGGACACCCCACCTAACCGAGCACTGAGCGACCCCCTGACTATTCACCAAGCTGATTGCGCACTGCTGGTTGCCATAGCAGCTACCAAATTCAGACACGAAGGAAATTTTTTTTTATACCTCTTGTTGAAGCATCAAACTGCATTTTGGAGCAGTCCGTGTGCCACTGCCTTTTTTTTTTTTTTTTTTAGGATTAGGGTATTAAAATATAAACAGCTCATGGAAATGATGACATTTTTGCTAAATAAATCATTATGTGTTTCGGGATGCACAACAAGCACTCTACTTCCCTGCTGTATCTAAATGATAGAAAAATTTATATGTAACGATAATCAAAACTATAAAACTTCATATTTTAGTGGAATTCCTTATTTCGAACATGTGCATCACGTGCAACTTGACGGAGAAAAATAATTGAATAATGTTAAAGAAACAAAATACAGCCGTGCAGTAGTATCACGTCCACATACAATAACTTTGCCTTGAAGTGCGCTAGATTAATGTGAACACACAATGGGAAATGCCATCGACCCTCGTAAGAATAGCATCAGAGTCACGTGTCATAACCCTTGCAGCAAGGGGCATTTGAACACAAACAGTGAAGCAAAACATGTAGACAGACAAATTGACTTTACTCACAGGCATGTGTTCTCTGTGAAGAACGACTACAATTATTGTACGTTCGACCTAACCTATCGCCTGTTCTTTGTGGAAGAATTTTTTTCCCCATAAAAATGACAAAAAATCTACATGGGAATTAGGCATAAGGAATCATTCATATACTGTATTAATGTTCAAGGTAAATATTTAAATACACACATTCATCCATCATCCCCCACAGTCCTTGACCCACATATCAGGTGCGTTTGGCCCTGAGGGGCCGCCGGATGAACAACTAGACAATAAAGTGCTTGAGCGAGTCCACTCCCCACACACACACGCCGCGGCTTCTTATGGACCAGATGGCCGATTGCTCCGAGCCGCGAGAAAATTAATCACAAAGCATTTTGTCTCACGTCCGCCCGCATACAAACCCGACTAAATGCATCGCAGACTCCCGCCGTGCACAGCGAGCCGTGTATCAGGTGCACTCAATGGTCGACGTGGACTGGAGATTGAGTTTGTGGCTGGAACACGCCGGGCCCGGCTTGACATCGTTCTCTAAAGAATTCAAAACCACATGACCATCTGCATTTATCCAGGCTTGAAGATTGGTAAAACATCGATGAATTTATTTCCAGAGCACACAAGCCTCTAGGTTCCCAATTTAGGTACAATTCTTCAATTACTCACAATAAACTCGGGACAAAAAAAAAAAAAATAAGGCTCCTTTTGATGAGGGGGTTCTTTTATCAAGATGAGGAGGTCCTTTCCATGACCTGGAAAAATAAATGCTAATTTGCCAAGTTACACACGACATGTGTAAGCTGCAAAAACATACCACCTTAAGCACTTAACGAATAAAACTCAACAAGTCTGTATTCAAGTGAAGTGCTATAGTAACAGTGAAGTATTTGTATTTTGACTCACTGGTGGATGCAGAAACATCTCAGCAGACAGGCTGCAGTGCTGAAGCACAAAAGTGCTGTGTGACAGCTTTAAAATATCACACTCATTCCTTTCTGTCCAATGTTCGTCTTTTTGCATTTACTTCCAAAGGCTCATTGTTGTTGTCTTCACTGCGGCCATTGTTGCAAAGCACTCGTCTCCCCTGGCTACCACCTAACCGCTTTTAATGGCTGCGCTGTCTCGCTCAGTCTGGCCTGCAGTCCATCAGTACTCAAACTGGGGTCCCCGCTGTCGTATCTTGGAAGTCTGCAAAATAATGATCAAAACGAGTTTTATTTGCATTAATTTTGCATGGCGCGCTAGCTTTAAGCTCGTGGAACTTCATCAGACAATGTTCGGCTCCATACAGGATGCGTGATTCTCTTTGTTTGATGTTTAGTTTGACGGTAAACTTCAACTGGGATTGGCGATAAACGGCGTGAAATCTCTCCAGAATAAAAGGTGCCTTTCACCTGTTTCCAAACGTCGCACTTGAGCACTGTTAACACACTCTGGGAACTCCACAACTCTTAATGTGATGTGATGATTGAGTGCCGAGGCTGCGGTGACTTCACCTGGGGTCGTCACTCAAATTATAGGGGGTGGCACGACCTTCTGTTGGGTTTCTTTCCCACCCAATAGCAGTCACAGCGGTACATGTTGTCTCTTGCAGACCTTTCGTGAAAGATCATAACTGCAGTAGCATAAAACGGCCATTCAAAAAAAAAGGTTTGCCCACCCATTGCTCTACATGCATTCTTAATTTCATTAACTACATTCAAAACTACATTTTAATTGTTTGTATTTAGGCCACCTGGGTCTCATGCCTCCCCTATTTGTTTTTCCCTTGAAGATTGACCACCCTATAGACCAACTAGCATGTCATGAACGACACGCTGATGTGTCGACGCGGAGGTGTGCCACCTTGATGCATGACTTCATTAAGGTGTCTTCTGGCCATGGCGACTGTCTCTGGGAGTGGGGGGGTCAGCGCTAACGTGACGTTGGCCTCCGGGGCGGACGCTGTCACGGCACCTGAGCAATGATGCCGGGGTACCTACGCTTCCCTCTTCCCCACTATGTCTGCTAACCCATTTATGCTCTTTAAGCTTGCACAAACACGCACAATACTCTGAGTGATGAGGCACTCTCCGTCTCATCATTCCTCCTGCGGTTCTAATCCTGCAGCAAATGGAAAGTAGTAATAAAGTAGATCTGTTTGAACATCGACACTGTGCTTAAATAAAGGAAAGTAAACATCCATCCATCCATTTTTTGAGCCGCTTATCCTCACAAGTGTCGCAGAGCGTGCTGGAGCCTTTCCCAGCTGTCTTCGGGCAGTAGGCGGGGGGTCAAACTAAAATGAGTATTAAAATACGTTTGACCAAAACCATTTTTTTAATCTTATTTTTATCACCATAACAAATTAACAGCAGATTCATCTTTTCATGCTGTTAATATTCAATATTTTTTGTTTTTATCCCATTTACCTTAGTGTGATCTGCTGGATCCGTCGGGGCACTGATCCACTCGCCCCAAATGTAAAATGACCAAGATCTGGAAATTTCTGTTGGGGACGCAGGTGGCTACAACACACATTAAGGAGGTAAATCGCTCCCAGATCATCTTCTTTGTGCGGTCATGTTACAGAACTGAAACAATAAAAGTGACTTGATAATCGTGGGCTATTCACTCCTCCATCTTGCCTTATGGCTCGTGGGCATTGAAGCCGTTCAACGTAATTCACTTTTGGATATTATGGACATAAATCTGCTTTTAATTGTCAGCGTGTTTCCCGCTCCCTTCCTCTTATTTCCTTCTGACGACTCACGTCCTTGACTTGGTCTGACACCCCCACAGTGAAGCGCTCTGGCCCACAAACTGTGTGCCCGCTGCGTGTGCTGCCCGAGCATGGCCACTGTCCTTAAAAAATTTTTTTAAAAAAAAAGCCCTAAAAATAGCCCATTCTGTAATTCTGTAGAGTAACATTAAGTTGGTTGTAGATAAAATAACACATAATACTATGATATTATGAATCAATTAAGGTAATATCTTGTATGACGGAATTTTACAGCATCTCTGACAGAAAGAAAAAAAAAGAACTGACTTCACCTCCTGTCGGCAACACAGCGACAAAAAAAAAAAAAAAAAAAT